AATAAAATTTATAAAATTAATTAATTACATTACTGCCCTTATTAATTTATTTATATTTAATATAAGTTAATTTATTAATTAAAAAAGTTTGAGGTTATTAGATTGTTTTCGCATTTTCGTAAATCACAGGGGTTCTCGTTTGAACCTCCACCTATATATATATATATATATATATATATATTAAAACTTATTTTTTTATAATTCCAATATATGACTTGATATAATTCTGATATAAGTAGATGTGCAAATAGTAACTTGAACACAAAATTATTAGTTACACATCATTTTAAAATTTTGTTGTTTACTTTATAACGTAGTTATGTTACGTAAGGGAGTGCACTGGAGTGATTTTTTTCAGTTTTAGTTTCGTACGTTAGTTAAAGAGTTGATGTAGGGAGTGCATTGGAGATGCTCATACTCGTGCATTAAAAAACACATGCTATATTATCGTCAACTTCACTGGTGGGATGTAAGTTACATCCCACCTGAAGGTCGGAGTTAAGGATGAGATTTGAGTAGATCTGACTTTTACCCCTAAAAAAGTGGTTGTTTCTATAAATACCTCTGGTTTGTGCAAAGAGTGTGAAAAGAAACGATAAATCTTGCTAAAAAAGATAACATAAATAGAAAGATAAGAACTTCACAAAAAGAAATCGTGACATTCAAACTGACAAACGAACAAAACACACGACCAGAAGCATTACAAGAAATCAACCCACTACGCCCATGCTTTACCTCTCCAGATCCATTCCTCTCGTCTAGGCTAGCTACAGATCCCCACACATTGTCAGCTATTGTAACTTCATTAGTTGATGTCTGTATATATAAACGTATACGCTCATTTTATCCGTTTACTATCAAAACAACTAGTAAGCGCTTACACCTCAAGTGATAGAAGTCACACTCCCCTCTAGATCGTCTATTTCACTACAAGATTACATATATAAAACATTTGCGCTAATTTAACTACAATCTAGTATACTGCTTATATCCAAAACCAGAGACGGATCTCAAAAAAAAATTCAATAAGAAACAAAGATATGGATAATTTTTACAAAAATAATCATTGGTCTATTGGTTAGTTCTTTGTTATTCGTATGTGAGGTCGTGTGTTCCTCTCTTTTATTGCAAATTCTTTTAGAAACATAAATAAATTTGAAACTAAAAAATAATAACCAAGTAAAATGACACAAATGGGATTCGAATCAACCAACTCTACCAAGGGAAACTTGTGTTACCATTGTAATTTCAAATATATATATATACGATTCCACAAAACAAAATGATACGGTGACACCATTCACGACCCTATAATCTTTCACACTACAACAGATGAACTAGACAATGGCAGTGCCACCGTATATCTATTGAAGTGAGTCCACCCCTGTCGAAAACTAAAATGAACCGTAGATGGAATCAAGAGGTAAGATGTAGGCAGACTTGACCTCTATCCTAACTAGTAGAAAAAGTTGTTTCCAATCTAGTATACTAATCATGAGAGTATCTCACAACACTAATTAACCAATATGAAGTCAACTCTTGAATGACCATTTGATGTTGCAATGAAATTTGTATCAAGAAATGGTAAAAAAAAGTTTTACCCAGATGGTAAAAACAGCGAAAGTTGGGGGCATGATTTGAACTTAAATCAGTGTGGTCCCTAGAAAGCAAGAAAAGAAAGGTAGATAAAACTTACATTGCTTGTCTGCTTTCCAAAGGCAGGCTAGAGATCATCAGGTGTGATGAGGAAAAACTTGTGGACACAAAGAAATTCCTTGGAATCTATGGCACTGATGAAAATGGTCCCTCCTTCTGCTCTTTCTCTGAGTCACACTGTGTGCTTGTCTCTGTGTAAAGTAACCACTCCTGAAACCATGTTCAAATGAAGGGAAATTATCCAAAATACCCGATCGGAAAACCATCCTCTTTGGTTTACACTCATCTTATTCACTGAAACAGTCGAGATTATGCAAGTAACACTTGGGGACTGTTAGTTGGCAGCTTAACGGGACACAACTTTTTTGGTCAGCTATACATGATTGTTTGGTAATGACTTAATGATAGAGAAAATGGCTTATTCAATAAGCTTCTAGGGGGCCAATTTTTTCCAGACCTACCCATCACATTTAAAAAAACATGGTCCTTTTCATCTATGAAAAAACCTCCCAAACAAAAACATTTTCGATCTATATATAGATAGATTAATCCACACGGACAACTTTATTCATACAAGACTTAATGGAAAACTAACCAAACAACCCCTTAAGTAATTTGCGTAACCCACTCTTTTCATACTTGAACATTATATTGAAAAACGTGGGTTATGCAAGTGAGACTTGAGTAATCTCGACCATTTCAGTCAATAAGTTGAAAATGTGCCTAAAAGATGAAGGGAAATTGTTCAAAAAAGCCAATCTGAAAATCTCGTCTTGGTTTGTAGCCACCTTTTCAACTTATCGACCGAAATAGCCGAGATATGGAAGTAGCACTTACGTAACTTGCATAACCCACTTTTTCCAATATAATATTCAGGAAAAATAGACATTACGCAAGCTGCATGGACAATCTACGTAGCACACACACCTCAAGTAGCACTTACGCAAGTCTACTTTTTCTGAATATAACATCAAAAAAGTGGGTTATGCAAGTTGGGTAAGTGCCATTGCGTAATCTCTGTATTACGGTCAATAAGTTGAAAATATGGCAATAAAATGAAGAGGGGTAGATTGGCTATTTTGGACAAAAACCCTCAAATGGATCCAAGGAAAAAATAATGTCTCTTGATGGCAAACCTTTTGAACCCATCTTCATTTTCACATATTCTGTGCATTGTATACTTGTACCTGAGATGAGGTTTTCATGGTTAACAGGAAAAACATGCATCAAATAGTTGTACTGTTTCATCTGCTAAATATGAACAACAGGAAAGAGTTGTACTGCTAGTACTGGCCACAGGCAGTACATATAACTTAACAGCATTTGTGTCAAGGAGATTCCTACACTTTGCAGTAAGACTAGAGAGACTTTTTTTTTAACAGTGAGGTACTTAGAAAGAGAGCGTAAAACACCCAGTGCAAGGATAAAAACACAATTTCATATATATATATATATATATATATATATATATATATATATATATATATATATATATATGTCTGTATAGAGAGGGGGGAGGATCAAACGAGAAGACGATCAATTTCTTAGAAGACAAAGAAGTTCCAAAATCATATATGATTACACGTGATACATACGCTTAATCATAGATTATTTGTCTTTCCAGGAAAATGGATATCTCCAGAAAAGATTATCAGTTTAATTTTTTCTGCTTTTTTCTTCACTCGAACCAATCCGCCGGTCAGGAAAAAAGAAGTAAACTCTACTTTTTATAATAGTTCTTAATTATTAAATTAAAAAAATTCCATTTTCCCGGCTATTCACGGAATGTGAGAAGCAGATGATTAATCATCTGCTTCYGGAAGAAATCGAAGAATTTMTTGGGAATCCTACAAGATCCGTTCGTTCTTTTTTCTCTGACAGATGGTCAGAACTTCATCTGGGTTCGAATCCTACTGAGAGGTCCACTAGAGATCAGAAATTGTTACATGATTAAGCGTTTGTATCACGTGTAATCATAAATGATATTGAAGCTTTCCTATCCTCACAAATTGATCATCATCTCGTTTGAACCCGATCCTATAACTATATATATATATATATCCTTTAATTTATATATATATATATATATATATATATGTGTGTGTGTGTGTGTGTGTGTAGATTGAGAGAGCAGATTTCAAATACAACCCATGATATAGAGAGAGAAGGGGGATTGAGAGAGGTCGAGGGGAAACCCCCCAAAAAACGAAAAACTAGAGACATCCTATTAATCATTCATTTGTATGTCATGCACATGTACATATGAGTGATTGAAAATATTTCCTGGTTTCTATGCACATGTGCATAACATACCGGAAAATTCACTTGCAAATTACTTGTATGTACATGTGCCTACCGTATAATTTAAAAGTTACTAGAGTGTTCCTCAAATTTTCATTTTTTGCAGTTTCCCTTGAACTTGACAGTAGATATATAGGGTTCATTTTACGAGAACTCGAGAACCATTTTTACTATAGTCAATCACATGTAATATTAAATCAAAGACGCGGACAACGTTTGACGCGACCTAGGTTGTGGGCCAAGTTACCCATACACCATTAGGCCAAGTGTACTATCACATGTGATACTAAATTAGAGGCACAAACGGACTTTGACGTGACTATATCTCAAGATACAATCATCCACACACCACCAACTCCCCTCACGTGATAAAGATGTTCTCGCGATTTGGTAAAAATGGAGGTGTTCTCGTTATATATATATATATATATGTATATACCATGGTTATGCACAAAAAAACTCATGCAAGGTAAAACCAGTTGGACTGAAGGGAATGGAACCTGGAATCGAGGGAAGATGAATCGTTACTGTTGAAGACAAAAATCCTCATCTTTTTGTCTTCTTCAACTCCATGTACGACTCAAAAAGATAAGATTGTTTTCCTTGTGCTTGGTGGGTGGAATTCAAACATAGAATATAGCATACAAAAAGCAAGCATAAACCAAACCAAACGGACCCAGTAAATCCCACACAGATGTAGGGTCCAAGGAGCGTAAGATGTAAGTAGAAGTTACCTCTATCCCGAGGGGCAAAGAGGCTGTTCCAGTGAAGACCACCAAGCTTGCAGAATCTTTGGAAGGATTTGATTATGATGAGAACAATCTTTGGAAATTTGAATCTCAAACAAGGTTGAGTTTATCAGGATACAGGCGAACAATGTTAACATACAGACGTGTGATCTGGTTAGATCAAGAAAAGGGTATAAATAAATACTACAAGGAGAAATACGTCAAATATGAAAAAATGTGCCCCAAAGAACTCAGGAGATGCATCTTTTCCTTCTCTAGACTGCACGCTGGCTAATCACGATAACTGCAACCGACAAGAGATGAGATCATTTCAGATATAATCGGGCATGTTTAAGATAAAATGCAAGCCGCTCATAAAAGGTAAAAGTTCAAGCATTTAACTTAGGGATGTAAACGAGTCGAGCTTTTAACAAGCTACCCAATTCGAACTTAATAATTACCGAGCTCGAGTCGATCTCGAACACAAAATAAAGCTCACTGAAGTTCGACTCGACTCGTTCGAAAGATCAATCAAACTTTATGAGTCGAGTCAAGCGAGCCAAGCCATTCGAGCATGCCCTTTTCGAGCCAAACATTTTTATATGCTTACAAATTACATAATCACAATATAAAAATTATCGAGCTTGAGTAAATAAACAAGATATGAGATCTCGAATTCTAGCTCATAAATGAGCATCGAGCTCAAGCTCAAACAGTGAAAAGATATTGAAAAAGTTAATAGAGAGTGATACTATTTTCCGAGTTGAGCTCGAATAACCTACTACTCTACTTGACTCGTTTACACCCATAGGGTGATAGATGAGTACCGATTTCCCCCGAGTTTCGAGTCCCTAGAATGATAGACCTTGACTTTGATACCATGTGAGAGTATGTGGAACCCGTTAGATTACTCTCCAAAAGAGCCCTTGCGGAGAGATAGGAGATTCCAACATATATGGAGGATAAATAGTCTAAGTCTGGCCGTATTTGGACACTAACAAATGAAAACCACATCAGAAATCTTTAACAAACTCAAGGCAGATAATACGAGCATTTACCTCCCATAATCGCCATGAGGATTCAATCCGTGGAGACATCTCAAGAAATTGTATTCACACGATCTCGATCTATAGTCCGTATATAGCCAGGCATGTCAGACCTTGGCCCAGCAACAGTACGGTATATGTAAAGCTTCTCAACAGGACAGCTATCGAACCTCGAATCTAAACTACCGTTTTCATCTATAACTTCGACATTAAGCATAGGCATTTTCTGACTTAGAAACTTACACGCTCCATAACTAACCGCGCACGATGACATCCAAAGGGATCGCATTGTCTCCAACTTGGCCACATTAGCCAAGAGAGCCTTGTCCCCAAACGGGCAATCTCGAATCTCCAGTTTCCGAAGGCCGTCACACCCGGACAACACATGATGTAGGCCTAAATCACTATTACCTGCAAACGCAATAGAAAGCATCTCTAATCTCTTAGCATGTCTCCCTATGTACTCAAATACACGATCGGTCAGGAGACCAGATAATGAAAGGCGTCGAAGTTCCTTGCAGTGCTCTACTATGGCTCCAAAACCAACATCAAGTGGTTCAAGTGTCAAATAATCGGGAGCTCGAGGTTCAATAACGCAAAGCCGGAAACAAATTAGGTTAGGCCGGTTCCTAGCAATGGTAATCAAAGCGGAATTTGACATCTGCCGACAGAAGTAAAGAACAGATTGGAGCTTCGGGCACCCCTCTGAAACCGAAACAAGGCCTTGTTCTGTCAAGGTGACGTTTGCATCAGCAATATATGGGTCGGAAGGAAACACCCGCAGTTCTCGTAGGTCCTTGCAGGACAAAGCAACGGCATTGAGCCCGCTGTCCTCCACGTGATCCAATACCTGTTATCAAAGCTTTCATTAGTCCTAAAGGCATGGCAAAATAGAGTGACCACAAAATTATTTGAAATCAGTAACATATTCTCTGCTGCCGCTACTTAATACTCACTACAATAAAATCGGGTTTATAGGGCGTCAGAAATCTCCAAGTGCCCTGATAGACTATTAATAGGACTCGATTTGTTGCGTCCCATAAACCCGTTTTTGTTGTAGGGTACATTTAGTTTTGGTCCTACAATATAACAGGGTGCACTAGCAGTTTTGTGTTAACAATTCATAAATATTTATCAATCACAGATATGCAAACAAAACCTACCCATAGACGCTGCAGATTAGGACACTGACTGATGACCTTGGTGATATCAGGACTTCTAATGGTAGCATAACTCAGGTTCAACGAAGTCAGCCTAGAACAAACAGAATAGAAAGCTAGAAGATATGATGGATCCACATCCCAAAACCCCGACAGTCCCTTAAGCTCCTTGCAGCCCAGAAAAGCCTTGGATAGACTTGAATATACATCAGACCGGATTCCCGAAGAGTAGGCACCTGTACCCAACTCGACCAGCTGCGGGGCCCGGCACAGTAGGGTGGAGAGCTTTTCAAGTGGTACAGCACGATTGAGTCGAAGAATCTTCAAGTTGGGTGAGCGACCAACCAGGCGTTCAAGGGCAGAGAAGCTGACCTCAGAACCCAGGCAGGCAATGTTAAGAGACTCCAATGAGGTACAAGTATTAGGGAAGTGGCTTAGCCAATGCCCACTCAAATCCATCACCTCGCTCTCCCGCAAGTCCAATTTTCTCAAATTTCTGCATCGCAAGGCAGAGATAAGAATATAAACCAAACCAAACAAACAAAGTGAATCCCACCGAATAGAGTCTGGGGAAGGGTAAGATGTGTGCAGACCTTACCTCTACCCCGAGGGTAGAGCAGGCTGTTTCTCCGACTTGAAAGAAATATAGAAAGCATGATTTTGCAAGAAACATATGGTTCCAAAAGATTTACAAAAGTTTTAATATTATGAAAAAAGATAACACGTGAATGGTAGAATAGCAGGTAACGATAATCGAACGAAAGGTAACAAGCAAGATACCAAAGCATGAATAAACATTAACAACAAACGAGAAGGTACTACACCGCTAGACTAAGGACAAAGTAGCTACTGACTCTATAGCCCTCCCCCTACCTATGGCTCCGTCAGAAATCCCGAAGCAGAGATAAGAATGTGTTAATACAATATTGAAGTCCTTGAGCAACCGAGCAAGTAAGAAGTGCACCTGGAACCTGTCACTGAAGCCGAATTCTACTATAAATAAAACTGATGCTCAGGGAGGGGAGACGGAGCCAGATTTTCCCAAGAAGGAGAGACAGAATATTACTTGACATTACTTGACCTACCACTAATTTTAGCATGTAGATGGATGTTTCATCAACTAGTTAAGAAACCAAACAAAATGAACTTAATTGGTATCCTCTACACTATCAAAATTGCTATTATCAATTCAGAGTAATATAACATTTCAGGTTTCCAGCCAGAAAGGAATCACGCCGGTGCACAAAACAACTAAATAAATAATATGAATTCAGCTACTGATATCGGATTATCAGGTTCGCAATTCAAGAATCTAGACGCCAATGACTACAAAGAAATAACTATTGTATGAAAATTATGTACTCTAAGTAATAAAAAAGAAACAAGAGTAAGTGATGGGGGTACTGAAAATGATTAATCAACAAGGTAAATAAATCAAAGACAAATGTCGTCAAGCACTCAAGCTTAAAACCAAAACGGGCATTGCTATATGTCAGAATTTATGTCAAATCATGTATCGCAAATGTAAAAGAAGTAAGTGAATGATGTAGATGTGTGGGAGGATAATTTCAAACAATAGTTGTTTCTTTGTAGTTACTGGTGTCTAGATTCTTCAATTGCAAACTTGACAATCCGGTGCAAGTAGCAGAATTCGTTTTATTTCTTTGGTTGTTTCGTGCACGTGCATGAGTCCTTTCTGGTTTGATAATAACCATTTTGATAGTGTAGAGGATGCCATTAAGTTCATTTTGTTTGGTTTTCTTAACTAATTGAATGAATCACCTATCTACTGCATTTAGCCTACCCCAAAACTAAAAAATCTAAATAACAATTCATTTAACAAGAAGGGTAAACTACAACATTGGAAGAAGCAAAATCTGCATTTCGTCTTGCATTATTTTTGGTAATTACCCATCAGCCTTCCTATGGAAAGAGGCCTCAGAATTTTACAAGTTCTATACTAGTTCATTTAAAAAACAATGTACAATATGATAGATAAGACACAATTGAAAATTTGTCTAAAATAGCCATTATAGACTCCCATTTCACTTTATTGCCGCTTTTCAACCCAAATGACCGAAATAGCCAATAATGGCAATTGAAGCAATGTGGAAAAGCAAGCAATAAAGTGAGTTGGGGGTCAAAATGGCTATTTTTTTCCAGACCCAATGCTCAAATTTTCTCTTTCAAAAATGATAGATTAACGAAGAGAAATTCACCTGCAATTAGCAGCAATAGCAGCAAGTCCATCTGTACTGAAACCCTCACACGAAGATAAAACTAAAACCTTAAAGTTCTTAAACGACGTCGAGATCAACTCCAGACTCTCATCTGTAACAACCATCCGTTTAAGCCTGATCTCCTCTAACCAAGGATAAGCCCTAGACATCTCACTGATCCAAGGGCAAGCAAACCCTCCCCAACCCTCCGGCACCAAATTAAAGTCTGCAAAATGTGGTTTCCCTTTCAACTCCACCGACCTAACCTCCGGAAACCTCCTGGTCATGATACTCGGACTCACGGCGTAACAGTTCCCAACGAAAATCCTCCTCCGGCACCACCGCTCAATCTCGTACCACGACTTACACACTAACGAAACAGCATTCCTGTCCTTATCAAGTGTTATAAACGAAAAAACATGCTCCAACACCTCCTCCGGCAACGAGTACACCATATTTCACCTCCGGTAACAAAAACCTACAAATACCTCGCCCGAAAGTGAGAAATTAAGTTCGATTACTTACAATCAATCAACTGTAGATAAAACTCCAATGCTTGTAGCAAATTAGCACATGTATTTCCTTCAGATCTGAGGGAATAACACCATTAATGACGAGCTCGGATTGAAGTGGTTCGAGTTGAGGGAGAGAGAGAGAGAGGGGATTTTGCTTTGAGTTTTGAAAGGTAGTATGGCATGACAGGTGAGATAAAAATTGTGTAGAACGGGGGTGCATATTAGAAAAGTGGTGGGGTAGGAAATCAACGGTTATGAAGAGTGAGACATGTAAGATGTAGAATTTCTGGCCGTTGGATGGATGGTACTTATCTTATCGCGAAGAGGCGCTGCCGCAGATGATGACTGTTTGTGAATACGGGCAGGGCAGGTCAGGGGCTGTCTGTCGGAGTGATACTTTTTGTATAATGTACTTCCAATTTTATTTTATTTAGCGGTAGAGTTCAAAAATGGCAATACGATTGCAATTAGAGGTGTATAAAATATCACTTGATTCAATTGGAACCTACTGATTTAATTAGAACCGATCAATCATAATTGGATCGAATCGGATTGAAACTTTTATCATCTAATTTGGATTGATCGGTTCTTCGATAGTCGGATGGCAGTTCAGAATCGACCAAAGCCGAACCGAATGAACAGATCAACATTCAATTAATCATCTGATGACCATCCAGTTGTCTATCCAACCATTATTCAACTATCATCCAATTAATTTATTTTCAAATTGTTTAAATCGGAATTTGTTTTATGTGAGGCTTTTAATTTTTAACTTCCTTGTGTTGGTTTTGACACATATTAAAAGTGATTAATTAATTTGTATCATTGTTAGAGAGTTAAATTGAATTAACACACTAGATGAATCTAATCCCAATGGATCATTCATTTGATATCCAATTGATGGAATCGAACCGATCCAATCCAATGTTAATCAGATCATATCAGATAGCAAAATTCAACATCCAATTGATGATTTGATCAGTTTAGTTCCCTTCACATCTAATGGATATCGACCGATAAACAGCCCTAGTTGCAATTAGCCTGCCTCAAAATTAAATGAAAATGGAAATTATTGTAGGATTATGTTATTTTATTAAAAATAAAACAATTCAATGAATAATATCTAAGTATTATCAGTTATCATAATGAATATTTTTTTCGTTGTAAATTCATCTTTGTTTAAAGGGTTTATTATTAATGAAAATTAGCTTTTCGGTTCTCTTTCTGGATGGAATTTTTATTATTTATAAAAAAATGTGTTCATATTTGAACCTGTTTAAGTTAAATCAAAACTTTGAAAATAATAAATTTTCACTTGGTTATATTTGACAAACTAGCTGATGAACTTACTGTTAACTGGTAAGTTAATCAGTAACAGATAGACTGGATGTTTGTTGATAAGTTACCTGATGAACTGATCACGGTTAACAGATGTAAAATAATCTAGAACACAACGAGATATATAGCGTTTTAATAATTTGGTCTATCGGTGGTGTTTGGTTCGTTAGAATCCGATGAAATTTGAATGGTCAGTTCCGTTGACCAAGTTTAATTCATGCGTTTCGTCTGTTATTTGAGTTTGGGTAAGGAGTTCGAATTCCACAAAGGGTGGAATGTAAGTTTTTTAGGTTCTAACAAGGAATTCATGTTCAATCGTGCCATTATTTAATAAATAAAATAGTATACTCTTGTATTTACTTTCTTTCATTCCCTCCCACCATGATGAATGTCACAATCGTTGTCGTCACAACTACCGTTATTGTCATCGTCGTCATCACTGTCATATCAACTACTGCTTTCATCGCCACCACCATCTTCGTCGTCATCATCACCGTGTCACCACCGCATTCTTCACCACCACCATCGAAACCAATACCACCTCCACCCCATCACCATTATTACATTCAACGAATCAAATAAACAAATTCAAAAAAAATTGATAGATTTTATTTCAGTTACTAACCAAATTCATGGTCAACACATGATTTAAAGGGGTCGTTTACTAAATGATTACCAGATTTACTGATATCACTTACCTAGTCGATTGAGTATGCCAAAAAGACCTAGAATCTTACATAGTAATTGAAGCCTTTATCGGGTTTAAGACGTTTCCAATAATCCATTTTGGTGGTCGAGAAAATATTACATGATAAGGTAAGTCGGGTAATTTCTCTTACAACTAAGCGTTTACCTAGTAATTTTTTGGTAAATCGCCCATAAGTTTTTTTCTATTTTTTTCGTATTTTAATTGTTTTAACGGATTTTAATTCCAACAATTTATATTCTACGAAACAAAAGTCACCTCAGTTTTAATTTATTTATGCAGGATTGTTACCCATATCACCAAACATGGTTTTAATTTGGTTCGTAAAACTTATAGCAAAAATGAATATAAATTTGGTTTTTTTTTATTAACCTGGGTATTCAACTTGCTATGTGAGTCGACTAATCTCAGGACGACCACCCACTTCGCGGGTAGCCTAAAGTCATCGCATTTGAACCTCCGTGGCCATAAAGATTTTTTTTTTCATAATTTGATTCGAACTTGAGACCTCCAGACACTTTTAACCTTTGGAACCCCAACTCAAACCAATGAGCAACCACTATTGTGAACATATTTAGCCATGGGGATCAAACGACTCCCATGATTAAGGGTGTTCATTGGCTGAGTTGATCGGGTTAAAGACATTTGAACAACTCAACCCAATGCTTGTGATTTGAAAAATATTAACCCAACTCAACTCAACCCAAACCTTACGGGTCAGTCGGGTTGATATGTTGGTACGTTAAAATATTATTATAATCTTGAATATGTTATTTATCTACTTATATTTTTTTTTTCACCATCAACAATTTGATACAACTTATTCATACTTCTTACATGTATCGCATTCAGTTAATTTTATCAATTTACATATATATGTTTACAGTTATTGAACATATATACAAATGAGTTATATAAAGATGTTAATAGATTGAAAATATGTGTATATAAAAAACGTACGTAATAGAATTTCAACATTCATATCAAATCCAAGAGATAAAAGTATATTGGGTAATCTATTTAGGTTGAGTTCAAATAATAATAATTCAATACCTACAATTTAAAATTTTTACAATTTCATTAAATATAAAGTTGCTTCGAGTTGAATTATTTCACGTTAGATTGGTTGGGKKGKGGGGGGGGGTTAAGCATCCCWACCCATGATGGTARTKGGGTTGGTGGTAAAAAGTAAAAGTAAGATGTGATTGTATGGTAATTGATGGTAAAATCAGAGCGTCCAATCACATGATAAACTAATTACTGTCTATCCAATCATATGATGTTATTTTTAAATAATGAAATCTAACGGCCATCATTACAAAAAAATTGCAATTGTAGTCCCTATGGTTTCATGAACATTACAAACACGGTTTCTAAACCTAAACAAATTATAATTAGAGTTCTCATGGTTTTATTTTCGTTATAAATTAAGTGATCGAATCCAGTGTCCTAACTCCGTTAAAACTTATGGTAAATGCCACTCATATGAGGGGCTTTTTAGTCATTTTGCATATTCTGTCAAATTTGAATGTCATTGATATCAGTGGCGGATCCAAGATTTTGGTCTAGTGGGGACACCTTTAAGGTAGCTTAAACACTCACCAAGTCGTCCGATGTGTTTTAAGCCTAATTCCACCATTCCAATAAATTTTTGAAGTTTTTTTTTTGGATTATAGGGATTTTTTTTAAGGTTTTTTTATCGATTTCGAGAAACTTTCCAGTTTTTTGGTTGATTTCAAGATACTTTCTTTAGTTGATGGGGGCCCTAACAAGAAATTACGGAGAACAATGGTAGAAAGTAAAAAAGACAATTTTTAACCTTAGGAAAATTCATTATTTTTTATTTTTTTAATGGGGGCCCTTCCCCCCACCTTTTACATGGTAAGTTCGTCCCTGATTGGTACAAGGGTGGTGCATGATTCGTTTGAGTAATTTATTTGATTTTTTAGAATTAATTTATTTAATGAAGTGTTATTAGATTTAAAGTAATGATTTTTCTAATTAATAATATTTTTAAAATTTTTGCAATGATTTTTTTATTTGTTAAATATATGTATTTAAGCTTCATGACCAAAATTATAACAAAACTAACTACATTTTTGTTTTATTTTTTATTTGTGTTTTAATGATATATTGGAGATGTTGCGATTTGAGTAAGCTACAAATTGGTCACTGTGGTTTGTCAAAAATAACCACATCTCGTCATTGTAGTTTTGAAATTACAAGATGGTTATTTTGATTTGTAAAATTGTCCACATTTCGTCCCTCCTTGTTGGTTTGTAAAAACGTCCGCATTTGGTCCATCATAACGGTCGTTAAATGAATGACATTTTCTCTCTTTTATTGATTTTGATTTTTATATCTTTTATACTAGGGGGTGTTCAAAAACCTGATCAACCTAACGTGAAATAACTCAACCCGAAGCAATCCGATGTCTAGTCGAGTTGTAAAAAATGTAAACCTTAGGTATTGGGTTACTATTATTTGAACTCAAACGAACCAGATCAACCCGACATTTTTTTATTTCTTGAATTTAATATCATTGTTGAATTTTTATTAATATATACACTAGATGATTACACTATCATGTACGCTCTTCATATACACATATTTTCAATTCATTCACATCTCTATATAATTCATCCGTATATATGTTCAGTAACTGTGAACATATATATATATATATATATATAATGAGAAAATTAACTTAATGTGATATACGTAAGAAGTTTGGATAAGTTGTATCAAATGGTTGATGACGAAAAAAAAAGTATGAGTAGAGAAATAACATATTCAAGATTAGAAGTATATTTTAATGTACCAAAGTATCAACTCAACCAACTCGTACGGTTTGGGTTGCACTTTAGTTTGGGTTGAGATTTTTCAAACCGCAAGCATTGGGTTGTGTTGTTCAAATGTCTTCAACTCGATCAACCCAACCCATGAGCACCCATATTTTACACCATTAAAACCATATAGACCAAAATCATAAGATTAATTTTGATTTGGTATAAAATAAAGAAAAACACGAACAAAAATACCCCTCGTTTAGCATAAGCTTTTAACCACCTTTATAAAGAATGATCAAGTCCG